AGCCGCTGGAGAGGCTCCTTATCCTGAGGGTCCCAAAACATCCCAAGGGTGTACCCGACCCGGAAATACAGCGTGCGGGGTTCATGATTGCGTGAGTGCCAGTCTACGGCACGACCGATGCCGCTCGCAATCTTTACCTCCGTATAAAGGAGAGTTCGCGAGAGCTAGGCCTAAAGGTGTCTCGAGTGCTTTCGGCGTTATACTTCCTCATAGACAAGGAAGGGAATCTATGTGCTGCCCTGTGCACGCACGTAGATGACTTTCTCTGGGCCGCGCGCGCAGCGGGAGAAGAGGTCATGCAGCGACTGCTGGATCGATTTAAGATCGGTCGCGTGGAAACTGACAAGTTTCGTTTTTGCGGTCGCGAGTATACGCAGCACCCAGACGGCACGATTGAGATTAACTGCCGTGATAACACGAGGGCTATAAGGCCTATCGAAATTCGCAAGGATGAGAAAGGCACCACGCCTGTGTCACCCGCTCAAAGGACAACCTTGAGATCCGTCATCGGTTCCTTAGCATGGGTTGCACGGGCTACAAGGCCTGACTTGGCGTATCCCGTGAACGCGCTTCAGCAACGCGTTACGACTGCCACAGTCGAAACTCTGCGCGAGGCAAACCGCGTCGTAGCCTTGGCACTCAACGATGCGGATCGGAGCATAGTCTACCGGGCTCACCTTCCTTGGCAGCCTGGAAAACTGGCAGTGGTCACATTTTGTGACGCCTCATTTGCCGCAGAGCAGGGCCATAAGTCCCAGAGAAGGCGGCTTCACTACCTGACTTCACACGAAGCAGCGGTTGACGGTAACGCTAAGGAGCATCCTATGCACTTGATCTCCTTTAGTTCGTCGACCATGACGCGAGTGTGCAGAGCGAGTCTTCAGTGTGAGGCCCCAACGAGCATGGGGACCGCATACGTGCCAGCGTCCTTGAACTGCTTGGACAACTCCCAGCGCGTGGGGAGTGGGAAGATGTAGCGCGACGGAGTTTTTTGCATGTCCAATATACGGACTGCTGTAGCTTATCCGACCATTTGGTGTCTTCCGTCCCAAAGCAAGTGGAAGACAAACGGTTAGCCATAGAGCTAGCTGGCCTTAGGCAGATGCTTTGGGAGGGGGATGAGTTATCCCATCAAGCATTTGCCCCGTTTGGTGACATGTTGAGGTGGATCCCAACTCATTTGCAGTTGGCTGAATGCCTGACCAAATCGATGAAACCCCATCTTTTGAACAGGGTTATAGCTGCAAACTTAGTCACCGTGTTGGCGGACGCACCCACAGTGGTAGCGACACCTGCAGCTGAGGAGGATGGTCAGGTCGAGCGTGAGGAACCACCAGCGCCTGCACAACTCCGACACCGTTCGGAGGAGCATACTGAGCTTCCCGATGAAGCAGCGGTATAATTCGTGCACTTTGCACGGTGAAATCACTGTGCGTATCGACGCACTGTCACGACGACCAACGTCGCCTGACACACTTTTCTTTTACGTCCTACTACACAATCTACACGACAGATAAGACGGGT